TTTGCTAGGCAAACAGCTTAAGGACTAATAGTAAAAATAAATAAATAAACCACAATGCTGTATGTAAAACCCTGCCTTCCCATTGCCCCTCCCCAACAGCGATTAGATACCTAATTTGTTAGGCAGCAAGAAAGAGAGAATGGGAAGGCTCAGGGGAGATAAATGAAGCAGCTCAGGAGCATGAAAGAGAAGACAGAGCTTTAGAACTGTAAATCTTATTTTGGAGTGATAAACAGTGGCAAAAAGGTCTTTCATATGCCAATGCTTCCCTGGCAAGCCAGAGAGCTACCTTTGTTTTCCAAAGTGAAATGGTTAGCTTTTATATTAATATGATTATTGAAGATTAAGGGGGATTTGCATCAAACCTGCTCCACCCCGATAGCCCCTAGCAGCTACCCACAGGACTGTTTGCATGGGGGTAGGCTTGTGGCACTGATTTCTCCAAGTAGAAAGGACTGTTGAGAGATTATAGGTTCCATAGAAATGTTATCAGCAATAAAGCTACCTGGATCACTCTCCCTCCAGCAGAAGGGGGGCCTAGAAAGCGTCACTCCCCTTGGTGTCATCCACTAAGCCTGCACAGGAGGCTGTTGAAGGACCCCAGAAATAATTCCTGTTGGGAATAGGGATCATAGGCCCTGCATAACTGTGAGGAACTGCTGTAGTGAGCAGGACAACTGAAATGGCTCTGCACGTTTGTGTGCCTGTGTGCTCATGTGTGTGAGTCACTGCAGGGGGGCAGTGGTGGCTCTGCAGGYGTGGGGTGAATATGCAAGGGAGTTGCTGTAGGTGATCTGCTGGACATGCAGGCCAGGCRTCCATGTGTGAATCACTGTGCAAAAGTGTGAGTGCTGGCTCTGTGTGAGAGGGAATTGCCACAGGAAATGGAGCAGAGTGTTGGCTTTGTGTGCTTGTGTGTGTGTGCATGTGTGTGCAGTTACTGTAGAGAAAGGGATGGGAGCCTTGGCTGCATATGAAATGCTGTAGGGAACAGGGTGGGAGCTCTGGATCTGTGTGGGTGTGTGTGGATCACAGGAGAGGATCACAGTTATGTGAGTGCATGCACAGGAGAGGTGCRTTAGGGAAGGGGATTGCAGCGCTGTGTCTGCATGTGTACCCCTGGCTTATATCTGTGGGGAGGAGGGTGTGAGAGCTCACTGTGTGCATGTGCTTGTGGGAGGGAGCTGCTGCAAAGGGCAGGGRAGGACCTCTGCTCGCTCTTAAGCCTGGTAGGGAAGGGGATGGGAGCGCAGACATGCACATTTATGTGAGCTGCTGAAGGCACCAAGGAAGGAGTGCTGGCACTGGACACATTAGAAGGAGCTACTGCAGGAAACAGGATGGGAAGATGTGCTGTGATTCTAGGGTGGGAGTCTGTACACCTGCCCCTCCTGTCTATACTTTCAGTAGCTGCTTTTTAACCTACCTTTACACATCTGCCTGGTGACTGTACTGCCATGCCAACCTGTGAAATCTTGGTACCTTAGCCAAAGTGTTGTCTGTGAATATCAGGACATCCTGCACTGGACCCTGATTCAAGTCTCTTCAGCTCGACTTTGCCCTAAACTTCCCTTCTCCCTACCAGAAAATCTCAACCATGCCTGTGGCCAATTTTCTTCTGTTCTCCAAATATTCTGGTGCAAGGAAATGCCAAAAATATTGAGCCATCCTATAGCAGAAAAAAATCCAGAGGGAAACCCTGGGGAACTCAGAGCAGGTGAACTGACTCTGTGCCAGCCCAGGCATTCATGGGCACAATGCCACTACGGTTCCTTCCTTCTCTTGATGTGTGGTGATGGCCAGGAGCCAAGGGCAAGTTGTAAGAGCCACCTTGGGTTACCCACTGAACAGTACTGGCAGCTGGCAGCTGAATGGGCCCAGCTCATGAAGGTGGGAGATGCTGAACCTGCCCTATAAGGTGTTTCTCATGTCTTCCTTTTTCCCCTCATCTGCACTGACAGACACCGTCCAGACAAGGCTCACCACAACTCAGGCCTCCCTCTTGCTTGACTTTATTTGGAGCTGAAGGGGCTTGCCCCTTCTTTCTCTGCCATCCTCCACCCCTGCATTGTCTTACTTTGACTTTTGAGAAGCCAAGGAGGCATACGCCAAGTCTAGTGTCAGCACCTTCTGGGCCAGCAGTGAGGACAGTATGTAATTTCCTTGTATTGTTGGACTCTGATGCTACCCAGTTTGCATTCATTTGGCTGTGGACAGCTGAAGGAAGAGATAGTGTTGGCCTCATCCCTGTCTCCCACTTCTTGTGAATACTAGTGTCTGGGAGCAGCAAGGGTCACATACTTCCTAGAAGATGAGGAGCTAACCAACAACAAAGTTGTCAGAGTGTGGTCCAAGCCTGCTGTATCCAAGCAAGATGAGCAGGGAATGATAGCAATGATAGCAATGATAGATTCAACCAAGAGATCTGATCATCAAATGAATCCATGATGATGGAGTGATTCTGAGGTCATGYCAAGAAGTCAGGTTAGAAGCAGACCCAGTGAGGGAATCCAGGGTCAGAAAAAGCCCTGTGATCTCCGGGCAGGGTTGGGCTGAGGCCAGGCCTTTGACCTGAGTGTTGGGAACAAGATCAGTGGATTCCATGGATAGGCAGGGGCAGGGATGCGGTGGAGCAGGAGACTGACTACTATAGCAYTGCTAGGGGCAGGGACTGACAGCCCCAGTGTGAGCTGAAATGGGATGTTGGGCACGTGGAGGGATGCCCCAGGGAAGGCTGGGCAAGACAGCAAGACTTGATGGTGTCCTCAGGGTCCTGATAACCAGTGCCATATCTAGAGCATACAGGAGCAGACGGGAGAAAAACAACAGGGTCTGCATGGTTGTTGTATGGCAAGCAGTCTGGAGACCCAGGGGGACTGATGAGTCTGGCTTAAGGTCAGACTGATCAACCTGAGGATGACTGGTCTGGCCTCATCTTTGGTCAGTGGTTGAGACAAATTTTACAGACAAAATGGGTGAAAGCAAGTCTTCTTTCCATGGTTCCCTTGGGCTTTTGTTTGTTTGGTTTGTTTTGCTTGGTTTTTTTTGCTTTGTTTTGTTTGTTTTGTTCTTTTGTCTGCAGAAATTCAGGCAAAGCTTTCAACTGCCAGCTCAGGGGCTGCCTATGGCTGCTCTTGGATTCGACATACTTTAGGTATTATTGTGCCAGTAGCATGCTGCTCTTTTTTACTCTGGAATAGACATAGCAAGGTAAAAGAGCAAAAAAGATAAAGTAGAAAGGGAGAGACAATGTGAGGGATTCGCTGTATCGCTGCATGGACCCACCTTGGAAATGGTGAAAAAAAGGTAGGGGACTGCCACTGAGGAATACCAGAGACCTGTGGGTCCCAGCCTGTGGGTAGCCAGATGTGCCTTCTCTCTGATGCACCTGAGAAAGGTGTCAATGTTAGGAAATTATTTCTTATTGAATTATAAGGCTGAGAAATAAAGTGGTAAACTGTAAAGACCCCTGCCTTCTGCTTCATTGCTGGTTGATGCCAAGCTGGATACAAGGCAGCAGCCAGAGGCCATGATATGACAGTCACAAGTGAAATAAGTTTTACAGCCTTGACTCTTGAATAGCGGTAGGGAGAGATGCTTTCTCTCTGCATTTTTCATTAATCCAATTCCTCTCTTTCTCCCCTTGGCTTTCTTTTCCGGATTATTGAATATTTAAGTTTTTCTCTGTGACACTCCCTCTGATCCCTTAGTCCAGCTGGCCTGATAATTCCACAGACCCAAATCAGCTCAGATTTCTACACAGACATAAGTCTTGTTCCTCAGGGGTTTACTCCTCCTTCATTTATCTCCCTTCATTTTATTTCTGCCCTGTGCCCTGTGCCTCTGTGCTAGAAAATGGTTCAGCTTTTTTCAGCTAAAGCTTTTGCAGTATCTTTAGTGAGCAGCTTCCCCCCAAAACAAAAGGGGCAAGAGAGGATGTTTAATCTTAAGTAAACAATAGTCTCTGTTTTTTTTTTTTATTGTTTTCCACCCTCTCCCTGCCAAGTAAAACAACAACAATAACAAAACCCTATGTCCATGTCTTTGCTTTGCTATATGAAAGTATTTCCTTTTCACTGCCTAAGGTGCTTCTGCCAGGCTCTGCCACAGCACAGTGGGAAAAGGCTTGAAGCTGTGGTCAGAAGAAAGGGTCCTCCAGGCTACTTTTTCAGAGAGTGTTAGGAGCTTGCCCAGGGCCCAAAGACACATTGAGGCAAATATCTCTTTGTCCCTGTCCCTTGACCRGACAATGTTCATAGACACCAAAGAGAGATGCCAAAATAAGGAGGAGCAACCTGTGTACCCTTCACTGGTGGGGAGTGAGTGGGGGATATCCCTCAGATCAGGACTGTGGGATTGCTGGGTGAGAGACTGGAGGCTGCTGTTTGACACACTGCCTACCCCTCTTTGCGCCCAAGCCAGGCTGGCTTGCCTCAGCAGCTTTGTCCCTGYGCCGAGAGACAGGAACAATTTTTAGAGCGCAAGTGGTTACACGTGGCTTGAATTATTTATCCTTGCTTCAAGGAAGGGAGGAAACAAACAATAAGAGGGAGGCTGGTATGCATTTTCCATGTCCCATGTACTCTGGGTACGTGATTACCAGATAGCTGAAAATCCTAGACTTCTGGTGTGCTTGGGACTTGCCTTTGTTTATACTAGAAGTTTTGAACTGATCACAATACAGCTGTATATTTCCCGTCCTTCCGCCTATTCTATTTCTTCCTCCACTCTGCCACCCTCCGCCACGTCACTGGCTGTGATTACATTACATAACAGCACCCAAGTACCCTTCTGCATACTCCTGATGTGAGATTACATGCCATGAGGGTTCACTTCCCAAAGCGGTCCCACTCCTCCCTTGCTTGCGCCCCCAACAATACTGTCTCTTCCCCATGTCCTCCTTCTCAGGAAATCTCACAGTATATTCTCTTATCTCAGGCCTCCCTCCCCCTCCCCCCAGCTGATGCCTCTTCTTGTTTCTTGTGTGCTTTCTTTTTCAGATACCAGTGACAGATGGATCTCTCTCGTGCACACGTGCTCTTTCCTTCTCTATATTTTTGCTTTCGACATGTTTGATCTGAAGTTCTGAAGCTTCTCAGAGGGAACCCGGGAGAGAAGGAAGAGGATAAGGAGGAGGATCGGAGGGAGTGTGAGCGACAGAAGAGGCAGACCTGCCTTATTCTCCCAAATCACACTGTGGTGGTGGTGGAGGGAGGGCTAGAGCAGGGAGGGTGGTTTTGTTTTGGGGGAATTTTTGTGTGGGTGGGGGGTGGGGGGGAGGGAGGAAATTGAGAAAGGAGGCAGAGTCACTCCTGGGCCTCAAAGAAGATTTGTTGTGAATGGTCTGAATTTTTGTTTAGAAAAGAAGCACAAGGTAGTTCCCTCCCAGTCCATTCTTCCTTTTCCCTAGATTTTTGGTGTGCTGGAAGCAGATTGCATTTGTTCCCCCTGCTCCATGCTCCTGGCTTGATCCAGAGAGCAAGAAGAAATGATGATGAAGACACCCAATAGGACTGGGCTGCTCATGCCCTTCCAGCACTAAGTTCCTAGTAACTGGCCACTTTTCTCTCTGCTCCTTACTTTTTTTTTTTTTTTTTTTTTTTTTTTTCTTGTGGTCGTGGAATTATAGTTCCTCTTGTTATTTTGGGTTTGTATTTTATTTGGCCTACTGAGGACACCACTGCAGACCATGATGTGCCTGGGGTTGTGGATAGCTGCCCTACTCTGCTTGTTTTCCCCTGGCACTGTGCAAGGTGACTGCTGGCTGATCGAGGGGGACAAAGGCTATGTGTGGCTGGCCATCTGCAGCCAGAACCAGCCCCCATATGAGACCATCCCCCAGCACATCAACAGCACAGTGCATGACTTGCGTCTGAATGAAAATAAGCTCAAAGTGGTGCTGTACTCCTCTCTAAACCGCTTCGGCAACCTGACTGATCTGAACCTGACCAAGAATGAGATCTCCTATATTGAGGATGGCGCTTTCATGGGCCAATCAAACCTCCAGGTCTTGCAGTTGGGCTACAACAAACTCACCAACCTGACAGAGGGTATGTTGCGGGGCATGGCCCGGCTCCAGTTCCTCTTTGTGCAGCACAACCTGATTGAATTGGTCACCCCTTCTGCCTTCTCTGAGTGTCCCAGCCTGATTAGCATCGACCTATCATCTAACCGTCTCAGCCGCCTGGAAGGGAACACTTTCACCAGCTTAAGCAATTTGATGGTGTGTGAACTGGCTGGTAACCCCTTCAACTGTGACTGTAGCCTTTATAGCTTTCTCAACTGGCTGGCACTCTTTAACAATGTCACCAAGAACTATGACCGGCTCCAGTGTGAGACTCCGCGGGAGTTTGCTGGGTACCCACTCCTGGTGCCTCGGCCCCACCATAACCGCAATGCCATCACCATCTTCCAGTCCATGTGCCGAGGTGGCACYATCCCCTCCCTGTCCAGGATCAACCCCACCCCTTATACCCCTGACTCCCAGCGAGACCTGGATGAGGGTTCAGCCATCAGTCCTGGGGACTTTCTCTCAGTTAAACCTCCAGCCTCTTCCACCACTGACTCCTCTTTTAGCCCCAGCATCAAGCTCCATGATGTCACTATCACCTCGGCTATCCTGATGGTAACCATCCCCATGCCCTACAGTAAGATGTATGTGCTTGTCCAATACAACAACAGCTATGTTTCTGACATTGCAACACTGAAGAGCAAGAAGGAATATGTCACTGTCAACAAGCTGAAGGCCCACACTGATTACACCTTCTGTGTGGCCTCCATTCGCAACAACCGGCGCTACAACCACACTTGTCTGACTTTTGCAACCAGGAGCAAAGGCAGGGAGGACCCTATCTCCAGCACTTCCACTACAACACACTACATCATGACCACACTAGGTTGTCTGTTTGGGATGGTCATTGTCCTTGGGGTCGTGTACTATTGTCTGCGGAAGCGGAGGATGCAGGAGGAGAAACAGAAGTCCCTCAATGTCAAGAAGACCATCCTAGAAATGCGTTATGGATCAGATATTGATGCAAGTACCATGGTCCACCCTTCCCAGAAGCTGGGTGAACCACCAGTCATTCCTGTCTCACGGATGTCCTCTATCCCTTCTATGATTGGAGAGAAGTTGCCCCCATCCAAATCAATGGAATCTGGGATGGACACTCCTAAAGTCACTACTAAAGGCAACTACATTGAAGTGCGGACTGGTGGTGGGGATGGGCTGGAACGGACCCAGCGGGATGAGGATCTGAGGGAGCTTGACAATGGGCAAGGTTCAGCTGCTGAGATCTCTACTATTGCCAAGGAGGTAGATAAGGTCAACCAGATCATCAACAACTGCATTGATGCCCTCAAGCTGGACACAGCCTCCTTCCTGGGTGGTGGGACCGGTGTTGACTCAGATATGGCCTTTGAGTGCCAGTCCATCCCTGCCAGCTCCTCGGGTGGGCTAGAGCGGCCCAGCTTTCTTTCCCCACCCTACAAAGAAAGCTCCCACCATCCTTTGCAGCGTCAGCTGAGTGCAGATGCTGCTGTGGCTAGAAAGACTTGCAGTGTTTCCTCTAGTGGCTCCATCAAGAGCGCCAAGGTCTTCAGCTTGGATGTGCCTGACCATCCGCCACTGAGCAAGTCTGACTCCAAATACATTGAGAAGGGCAGCCCACTCAACAGCCCTTTGGATCGTCTTCCCTTGGTGTCCCCAGGCGCCATCCACCACCTGGAGGTCAAGCCTTCTTACCACTGCAGTGAGCATCGACACTCCTTCCCGGCCCTGTACTATGAAGAAAGTGCTGACACCTTGAGCCAGCGGGTGTCATTCCTCAAGCCGCTCTCACGATCCAAGCGAGATTCCACATACTCGCAGCTCTCCCCCAGACACTACTTCTCGGGTTACTCCTCCAGCCCAGAGTACTCATCAGAGAGCACTCACAAGATCTGGGAGCGATTCCGGCCTTACAAGAAGCAYCACAGGGAGGAGGTTTACATGGCAGCTGGGCATGCCCTGCGGAAGAAAGTCCAGTTTGCCAAGGACGAGGACCTGCATGACATCCTGGATTATTGGAAAGGAGTCTCTGCTCAGCAGAAGCTGTGACTCTCCTTTGCTCTTTCCAAGGAAACAATACAAAACAAGAAATCTCCAATGACCGGAAAAAAAAAAGCCACTTGACTGTGAAAAATAAACCAACAACAAAATACTCCCAACAAATATAAAACTGACAAAATCATTTCTTAAAGTTTACAGCAACAACAGAAAACTCTCTCACACACAGACACACACATATACTGAATTGTCTCTACTGTGTTATGGGGACCATTGTTAATGCCTGCAGATGGTTGCAAAGAGCAGCCTGCTCTGATACTGTGGTAACAACACGTGAATGTGTAGGAATGGGACTGGCCTGGGAGGGGATGGCAACAGTGACAGTGGAAGGGTAAGAAAGGACACTCCCTGAGCATGAAACTTGGCTGTGAACTCTGTTTCTGTTGCTGTTGCTACTTGAGGGCTGATTTTTCTTTTGGATGGGATGAGARGATCTTGAATTAGTAAGAGCTTCTCTGCCCACCTCATACTCCTCCAGATCTTCCATTAAACTACTTTCCTCCCTATCCCACCCCTTTCCTTTGGCAGTGAAGGCTTTTCTCACCCTCCTGTTCCCTTCCAAGATTGGTGGGATTTGTTAGAAGGAGGAAGTTCTTTCACTCCTTCTCCTCTTCCTTTTCTCTACTCCTGTCTGTTAAGGCTCCCTAGATTTGCACTTTCTGTCCAAATACTTTACGAACCTCCATCCAGAGGAGTTATGAAGGGCAGAGGRAGGAAGGATCTGCCACACAGCAGTTTTGTGCTATTGCTGCTCTGTCCCCCTTTTCCACCATGTTAGTAATGATGAATGTCCAAAGACGCTGGAGTGGTGGGCATTCCCCAGGTCTGTCCAGAACCAGTCATCTGCCAATGAATAAGGTGGGGGGTGGATATGACTGTCAGGTTCTCAAGACAGGGTGGTGGAGAAAGAGGCAGGAAGGTTGGATACCTTGAGGTGTGTGAAAGGTTCCCCACTTGTTCCTCTTTCTTCAGAGGTTTCACTCTTCCTTTGTGCAGTAGGTTATTTTGCTCCCTATTCATGCCTCTCTTCCTATGAGGAAGGGATCTGGATCTGACCTTCTGTAGCCTGCCTCAACTGATTTGCACCACAGRAGAGCAGAAGGGCATCTCCCATCTTCCTTTCTTGCTTGGGAGGGACAGATCAAGAGGATTTAACAGTAGAATTTCTGTTTCTTCACTTGTGAGGTTGACAGAAAACCACTAGGTGGTTATCCCTTGAAYAGGATACTCTAACATGAGTATCCTGTTCATGACTCAGCCTAGGGTGAAGGCAGGAGCACAGAATATGAAAGGGATGTGAGAGGAGGCCCTGGAGAAGCCCAAGAAGGATGGCTCCAGGAAAAGTCCCCTTTATGTGTTCAGTTTTACTGGGAGTATTGGGATATAGGAGGATGACAGTCCCTGGATGGCACTAGGTAATTAGGAGCCCTTAGGAGAGTCAGAACGACGTTTTGCTTCCTAAACCTCGCACTTCCTTGCACTCAACAGCTGCAGATTCTTCTTAAGGATTTTTTAATGTCCTGTCAAAAAAGCACTTTTTTTCCCCTTGCTTCTCCCTGACCTTTGTCCCTGGAATAGGAAATGTGCCACAGAGTTAGGAATGAACCTGCTGCCTTTTTCAATTCATCCTGTTTCTGAGCAGCATAGCAAAGCACAATCTTGGCACCTTCTCCCCCAAACTTTGCTTGTCTGGCAAGGGTTGCTGCCTGCTGAGTGGATCTTCAGTGCAGCACAGTGCCCCTCCCCTCCATATGCTACATAACCCAATCATCCTTGACAATCTTTTGTCCCTATCAAGCTGAGAGTGAGGGCCTGTGTTGTGGTGGCCTCTACCGGGGGGCTATTTTTTTATGAGGAGCTGCTCAGAAGTCTCATGATGTTTGGAGGCCTTTGGAGAAGGATGAGGGTGTAGGAACTTCTGGGACAGATATATGTGCTGCCTGAAGAAAACCTGTCCATCACCTGTCAGGCAGCAACACTGCCAGCTGAGAGCTACTTTCTATGCTACAGATGG